TTATTGATGTTATTATTTATTGCTTATATAACATCTGGAATGAAGTGAATCTTTAATTTAAATAAGAAATATAACCTCGGGGCATGAGCTGACGAAGTGTAGGTGACAGCTCAGCTGCTCGGCTAAACCATCATCTTCTGTCAATAGTGGGGGGCTAGCAAAGCCGAGCAAGGCATGGTTGGGTCATGAAGAGCAAGGTTGGATTGAGAATATAACCCTTCTGCTTTTATTTTATAATTGTTTGTAAACTGTTGTAAACTCTAAACAACAAGTAACAACAATGATTTCGAGATATAGGAATTCTGTCTGTATTTTTGGGAAATACATGCAGGTAATAGCACGTTTTTCATTCCGAAGGAACTTTTGATTTGTGAGATGAACTCTGTCTTTCAGAATAATTTGCCTTTAATGTTGGGTCCTATTAATTACCCAGTTGTTAATGACCCTTCTCAACAAGTCAGAAATATAAAGAAGCATTTTAATCCAAAGTATCGAAAAGAAAGGGCAATGAAGTTTATTAAGATCGAGCTGCCCGATTTTGATGATAGCAACGAGGAGGTGGTGCAGGAGAGATTTCGATCACGATTAAAAAGACATGGGATTTTACCTCAGAGAAACTGGCAAGAGAGACCTGTTCTTATTAGCTCCACACCACAAATATTTGAGACTTACGTCGTTCCAGAGGGTGATGGCAAATTTTCACCCATTACTAAAGCAGTACGTGATCATATACTCATGTTTAGTATCGTTCGTTCGATCAAACAGTTATCTGAAGAATGTGTACCTTCAATGTTTAGGGTGCGAAACAAAAAGTTGAATTCATTGGGAAAAAGAGCAAGTCTTATTTGGCTATTAGGAAAATCAAATCGTTTGAAGAGGACTTCCATGTGAAGGCATTTGCCGAAGAGGCATTAGAAATTTATAAGAAAGCACATGAAACTTTAGCTGAGTATGTGACACGCTTATTCTACATTTGATTCGTGCGTTGGATTAAATATAAAACTTCTCTATTTTTTATTTCTTAGAAAAGATGAAGAGAAATTGTTACAGTATGTCACGGAGGCAGCGTTTCCTGTAAGATTCAGTAGTGCATTTTGATAGTTTTCTTCCTATATTGGCATGTGTTCTCATACGAATATTTAACGTTAGGTCATGACTCATAATATGGAGCATAAAACAATCGTCTGGAAGTTCGTCGAGTCATTGGAACCAGCGCGTATCGTCCACGCAAGAGTTACGAACATCATAACAAAAGACAATTTCTTTGCACAGATCACTGTTCGTTTCCACACACAACAGGTTCGTTAACAGGTTTCGTCGTTTCGATTAATTGATTTCGTTCGTGATATTATTCGCGGGTTATTTTTTTAGTATTTGTGCATTTACGATCGATTCGGACGAGTACTACTAGGGAGTGAGACAGTAAAGAAAGACGTTTTGGATTATATCGTGTTCGAAAAGCACTTGTCTAATACGTATGGCACTTGGCGAGTTCACGGTAAGATCGTGCCAGATTGGATGACTCCAGAAGAAATACCATCGCTTACTTATGTATTACCAGAAGAAAAAGAGCCGGAATCTCCTACATCTGTTGAATCGGTTGCTCAGACAGTAACACCTGATAGCTTAGATAAGAAAACTCCCGAAGCAACAACGTAATATTTAATATAAATACTTGTGTTAAAAGTTAAGTAAAACGGTTTTAAGTGAGGATCGGAATTGTGTAATTCAATTCAATGTTCCTTCATACATACTTTATTCATGTTTACATAGGATCTTTACCATCTACTTTGCATTCGTAACAACTTAATTCCAGGTACAATAACGTTCATGTTCCTTTCTTATTATCCGTACAATAAAAAATTATATAATAAATATAATATTCAATCATGATTTCCCATATATACAGATTTCGAATATTTTCTTACAAGAAAAGTGTCTATCGTTGATTAATCTGCAAGTTCAGCGCTTGTTCGCGAACATCAATTTACGAAGCATACAGCGTTTTATCGACGATAACAGAATTTGTTTAATATCGTTATTGGTACTTAGAGAATTAACATTGAGATTACCAAAAATTCTGAGCAAGTTCACCTTCGGGCGGTGGTATCGATCCTTTCGTTAAACTGTTCCTTAAAAATTCTTCCAATCTTACTAACGGCCCGCCACCGATGAAACCTACATTCTGCATACGCGGATAATATTCCTCTGTCAATAGAATCAACAATTTATAAAATTGTTTCGGATAAGCTGTCCACAACGCATTCCCGGAAACTTCGAGAATGTCCAATAAGAGAGTCGCGCAAAGATCTGTTATTTCTTTTCTCGGCTCTGAAATAAAAACGTCAAGCATTAATTAAATTATCACTGAATTGGGTATTAGGTCTTGTAGTATTTCTCAAATTCGTTTTACCGATATTTAAAACAGCAGCCAACCATCGCCATGCATTTTGAAGTCCATGCGGGTTACTTTTAGCAATTCTCTTTCTTTGATGCGTGATAATGATGGAAGCGTACAATCTCATTAAACCGGACATTCTTTTTAGGTATTTGTCATGTTTCTCGACTGTGCCATCTTCGGAATATTTGTAACCCATTGACTTGTAATAATCCTCGTTCGACTGCCCGACCATCTTCGGGATGAAAACAGGAACAGTGAACGGGCAAAGGTCGTGAAAATGTGACAGAAGTAAATGACCGAAATCGGGATGTTCATTCCAAAGAGCCACGACCACCGCAGCGATTGGAAATGCCATCTTTGGTTTACTGGAGACAAGCGTTTCACCTTGACTCTGTTAGAATATAAATTGTATACACTGAGTATCTTTTAATTGAATCGCCAACATAAGATTTATATGAATGTACGTACAACAATCTTTTTACTTAAGATATTTTTACAAAAGGCTTCTCCCTGTGGGTACTGCTTAACGTTTGGCCAAGATTTCCCTATAAGAAGGTTTTGCAATCTCTCATACTTGTCCCTCAGATGTTCCGCGTTGATACCAGATATCGCGTTCACAGGTATATTTATTGCTTTCTGGCATTCGAATCGAAACTTCTTCGTATCCGCAGATTGCAAAAATTCGTCGAGAGATAGAAGGTAATCTGTCAGGAATTTTTTACTGTTCTCATATATCTGCAGCGATTCTGTATCAGCGTATTCATAAAAAACATCTGGAAATAAGAAAAACATATTCAATACTGACATCAAGATATAAATCGTTATATGTCACGGTGTTTGGTTTACCTTTATCCGATTCGGACGTTGCACTTTCTTCTGCATTGGCATTTGAAGGTACAACCTTCGGAATATTTAAAACAACTGTTCTGTTTTCATCTTGCACTTCGGTTTGATTTTCCTCATAGCTTTGCGAAGCATTATTCTGCACATCGTGTGTACACTGTTCTAAAATTACTGGTTCACAAGCTACTTGATTGCCTTCGATTTCGTGCCCTTGTGATTTGTGGGTCTGCAGTGCAGAATGCATTGCATTTTCGGCGGCAATTAAGGTTTCTTCATACTGAACATTTATCCTATCTAAAGTATAAAGTGAAATAAGATACATGATAAAATTCGAAGCAAATAGATGGCTCACCTATTTCTGATTTAAACGAGCATAATATTTCGTCAACTTCATTGACTATCTTTTCAATGATACTTAAATCAGTGGCTGTCACGTCATCTGCCCTAATCTTTTCGTCTATTAAATTCATTTGATAATTCAACTCTTCTAATTTTGCAGCATGACTTGACAACGCTATGGCAACAGAATTCTTATCTTTACAATTTTCGGAATACGCTGCAAAATAACGATATTTTATGTCATATAAATTTCTTAAAATGATCAATTTCGTTGTCACTTCTTCTTTTTCTCTCATTTTCTTCCGATATTCTTCGAGTTCTCTCTGTCGCTCGTGTCTTCTTCGTAACTCTTCTTGTCCAGCTTTTTGCTGTTCCTTTAATATCGTATCGTTATTCTCTTGGATTTTACGTTCACGTTCTTTAGCCATGTTTAAACGTGATATTGCCATGTTTTCCAGTATGGCTTTTCCACTTTCTTTCATCTGCTGCCAACGGCGGTCGATCTCTTTCTGAATTAATTAAACAAAATTAGATTACAGTCTCTGCTCATCGAACATTCACTTGTCTTACCTGGACCTCCTCTTTCCTCTGATATTCACACTCCAGAAGGATCTTCTTTACAGAGAACGAAATACCGCTTTGTACCGAAGTTTTGTTCTGTGGCCGATTAGATTTCTGTGGAACTCTAACGTTACAGGAATTCTGTTCATTCTCAATATTCTCTGTCTTCTCATTCTCGTTCTCGTTCACTTTCAAATTTGGCCCGATAGTAATTCTGTCCACTTGCCCTGATATTTGCGAAGCCTTCTTCAAAGCAGACACTTTCAAGCAAACGAAATCAGATGCTATGTCGTCCATATTATATTCCTATCAAACAACCAGCTATTAGTTTCTGTTCCTGTTAATGTTATACAAATCGAACTTACGTTCTCATCCCTGGTGCTCACGAAATGAGGCATCTTCGTACGTTTCAAAGAATGAGGTGTGATGTAAGAAATTTCGAAAGATCAATTATAGTTATATGTTTATCAGAGCAGGAAGAGTTTCTTCTAACCTATTACTTTACGTCCAGGTACATTTACTACACGTACCCTTATGTATTACACGAAAAATCAAGTCTCGTATCAACATCACAAAGAAGCTCTTACAGACTTGATTGTTTAAAACACAATTAACATTTTGTTCGTTAAATGGACCAAGATTTTCTACCTGACGTATCACTCACCCTTCAGTCATACCCGTCATACCCAGTCATACCTATACATACACCCAAATACACACCAATACCACAGCACAGTTAGGGAGGAAATGTGAATGTATGAGTGCTCACAGCCGGATGCATACAGGTGCATACTAGTGCTGCTCCCAGCTTTTTCTTGCAGAGATCTAACATCTGACACGGTTTTTCTCGTAACAATCAGTTCCACTATATACATATAAATTTATAGTCGTTCCTTGCACTTGGCATTCAGCATTTAAGTGCATCCCACCGTATGGTGAGAATATTCGTAGCCTAAGATCGAAATAAAAAGGGAAAGAGTCTACAAAAATTGTAACAGTCCATTAAAATATATTACATACATTACATGGACGACTTGATACAATATTTGATTGACCCATTGGATATTCGCATTCTTATTTTTATAATTCATTATTATTAATACAATTGTCTGGTTGATGCATAAATCTACAAGAAGGGGTCAGATCACCGAAACTTCTCCAACTATTATTACGTCTCTAATGACTTTGTGCACGATTTGTTAATTGACGATTTCAAGGGGCGCGGTAGCGGCCCGAAGGCAAGTTTGAGGCCCGTCAGGGGGCA